AAATAATAATTAAATTAATAACTTACAATTTATTCTATATCAACTCTTTATCAACTTAATGTAAAATAAAAAATATCTTATAAAATATTAATTTTTTAATGATATTAATTTACTTTTTATTCACAGAATAATATTTAGTGTGATGATAAAATCTAATGAATGAGGAGAATTACATTGTAATAGAAATGTTTATTTATTGTTTTCATATTATCTCAATCAAAAATAAATTTTGTTACAAAAGTCTTTTCACGTATATAAAATTATTGGAGACATTTTTCAAAATATTATCGAATAACTTTTATTAAACTTTTATTAAACGTTTGTACCTTGTTGTAGGTAACAATGTCGTACATGGAGATTTACAATGAAAACATCCGTGATCTTCTCAATCCTAGTTCGGGATATTTGGATCTGCGTGATGATACTCATGGTCGTAACATTCAAGTCTCAGGATTAACAGAAATCTCCATCAACTCGACAGAAGAAGTATTTATTTATACGATAGTTTAAAATAACGTATAATATAATAATACGAGTTTATAATAAAAATATTGATTTTTAAATTGAAGTGAAATAAATTATTTACATATTTTGGATTATTTAAAATTTTGAAATTTATTTACAAAGAAAGATGTTGAATATATATAGTCTTTTCGCAGTCTAAATGATAAGACACAGATGATCAGAAGATCATTAAAAAAATTCATTTAAAATTAAAATATTTTATTATTTATCACTTATTATTATTATCAATTTGATGACAACATAACTGAAAACAGAGAAACAAAGAAAAAAAAATATAAAAGAAAACTGTAACGCTTTTACTTTCTGTAAAATCTGTTCTTTTATATCCCTTCTCTTTTGAGAGAATATTGAATTTTGTATTAATTTTGTATTAATTTGTCCTTGTCTTTTCAGAAATAAATGTATTAGAAATAAATGTTTTAATCGATCAACCTAAAAAAATTAGAATTTTATAAAAAATTACGTGTAATCAAAGTTATTAAAAAAATTTTTTTTAATTAAATTAAATTAAATAATATAATTATTATAATATAATATAATATAATTTTTTAAAATTTAATTTAAAATACAAAAAGATCTTATTTAAAAAAAAACATGGATAGAACTGTAGCTAATCACATAAGAAAAAAAAATAAGAAAAAAGATGATTCAAATATGTTGATGACAATGAAAACAAAGAATATGAAGATAAATAATTTTACTATTTATAACTTTATAACGCTTTATTTCGCAACTATGCCCTTTTTTTATTTTACGAGGGTAATCTCGAATGATTTATTATTTAATATTTACAGGTTATGCAACTTTTACACAGAGGTAATAAAGCGAGGACAATAGAACCAACCGCCGCGAATAAAATTTCGTCACGAAGTCACGCGCTTCTTAGCGTTACAGTCAGACAATTCTTCCACCGGGAAGGTGATCAGCGTTTGCGCAACAAAATGAAACAAGGAAGACTATTTATGATCGATCTCGCTGGATCTGAACGAGCCAAGCAAACAAAAGTAAGTCGATCTTAATTTTTGTATTATTTTTTTGTGTTCCAATTAGAATATTTAATGAAATGATCAACTTTATTTATCATTCTTAAGTCTTCTTGTTCAATAGCAGGAAAAATGATAATTTTCTTAAAATATTTTTTAAATCAACTAATCTTTCCCCTTTTTAAAATATTGATTTTAAAAACCGATCTTTTCGATATTTCATATATGTTTTCATTAGTTTAATTAATTTGTTTTAACAATATCTAAATTTTTCATATTTTATTTTGAATCATTTTGTAAATATGAGCACGCACATAACACATTCACAATGCTTGATTCATAATTAATTTCTTCTTTTATTACCAAGTTTTTCTATAAATGAATGGACTGCGAGGTATTTTAGCATTTTTATAAATTATCAAGATCTCTCTGTCAACTCAATTAAATTTATCGTTACAGAACAAGGGCAAAAGACTACAGGAAGGCGCACATATCAATAGATCTCTTTTAGCATTGGGCAACTGTATCAATGCCCTGTCTGGTGGTGCACGGTACGTGAATTATCGCGATTCTAAGCTCACCCGATTGCTGAAGGATGCCCTTAATGGCAATTGTCGAACCGTCATGATCGCTCACGTATCACCGGCGAGCGCGCATCGCAACGAGAGTAAAAATACTCTTATTTACGCGGACCGCGCCAATAAAATCTCTAATAAGATTGAACGGAATGTATTGGACGTCAGTTATCTGCATGTCGCGCAATATCGTGACATAATCAGTGATTTGAAAAACGAGATCTCACGCCTACGAAACAAAATGAAGGATGAGAGACCGAGACGAACGGAGGTAGATGCAAAGGGAATCTTAGATGATACTCGCGATAACGATTTTAAATCATTGAGGGAGAAAATTGTATCCGCTTTTAAGGAACAAATGCGTCTGAGGTGTGTATACGAATACGGTACTATAGAAATTAGAAATATGAAATTTGTTTCTTCTAAATTATATATACTTATATATTATAATAAATTATGTTAAATATTAAACAAAAATTTATCCTAAAGATATTAGATGTCACTGTATATTACAGACTCAGAGCCCTTTATATGCTTTATATGCTTTATTGCTTTTTCTTTGGATTTATTTTTTTCTTCTATCTAACTCTTATATACTCTCGATTCAATGTAACAATTATTATATCTGTTAATTAACAATACAACGTCTTATCTTCTTTAAAAGTAAAAGATGATCTTTAGTCAATCCCGTACATATCTTTCGAATTATTCCTACAAATTAATATTTTAAATTTTCGATATTATGAAAATTAAATTACTTAAACAAATTATTGATGAATTATTACATGAAGAAACAAATAAGTATATGTAGATCAGTATGTTCAATAGAAAATAAATAATTCAGACACTACACAATTCAAGCATTACATTAATAAAAGGAAGACGTAGCTTTCGACTATTATATTTTAAAAATTGTAAATAAATATTGGCAACAAAAGCTAAATAGTTTTTAAATTTATTTAACAAATTAGAAAAATTAATAAAAGTTAAGAATCCTGTCTAACTGTGTAATGCCTAAATTATCTATTTTTTTGTATTACATAAAGTTTTTTATATTTATGATTTCTCTTTCTCTCTCTTTCTGTAATATAATATAAAATTGTTTTCAAATATAAAAATAATAAATAATTTAAATAAAAAAATAATAAAAAAGTAAATCATATTAATTATTATTATTTGCTCAATTACGTTTTAATTATATTCATAGCTTCATCAGATATAAAACTTGACATATCGTTCCAGTTATTTTTTATCAATAAATACAAATATAAAAATACCTTTTTGACGGGTTGATTTAAAAACAATTTGATTCTCTAACTCTTCAAACATTATAAAATTAATGTAAATCCTATAAATTATCTTAAATCACTAATTTAAATAATATGACAGGAGGAAACTCATGGAACTGGACAGCCATCTCTTGCGCCTAAATATCACTGCTGAACAGCAGCATTCTGTAATCTCACATTGGGAATCAAGAAATAATAGAGTATATGGAAAATCACGGGATTCCAATACGCGTCGTCCTGATACAGATTACCAAGTAGACGAAATAGACGACATGGGTAAGAAAAATTTTAATTTTCAGTGTAATATTAATCAGTGTTATCATGATTAGACATTTATTATAAATTAATACATTAATACATAAATACATTTTGAAGAGATTAATTTTTTTTATTAATTAATTTTTAATTTTTTTATATTATATTCACATATTTTTTGTAATTAGATGGCTTACATTTTTTGAATAATTTCTTTAACATAAAAAAATAAGAAACGAAAAAAATGCAAGATTCAACTTTGTTTTTCAAGTTTTATTTTTAAAGTTTTCCATATAAATCTTTAATCTTTAATATTATTCAAATTTCGCAATATATGTTAATTTAAAGAGAAAATCATTTTGAAAAATAATTAAACTATCCACTATAATACTTAGGAAAGGATTATTAATTAAAAGGATTATTAATAGATTATTAGTAGATTATTATTGCATGTTTATGTATGTATCGCTTTTTTTCAAAAATTGATTAAAAAAAGAGAACTTAAATATATTTCAAAAACTATCTAATAATTATAAAGTTGAAGTTATAAGTACTTTGTCACCTATTATCACCTGTTATTTTTACAGCAGAATTGATAATATCTTAATAAAGGATGTTTTACTTAGATCTTTTAGAAGATGAACTTGAAGATGACTTAGCTGTGCAACAAGCGTGGACGGAATTATCGGAGATCACGAGAGAGCAAGAAAGATATGCCGAAATGCGTGCTGTTACGGAAAAAGAACTTGAAACTTGTCGAAAGTGCTGCGCTATGCTCGAAGATGTAAGACTTGTATTTTTATCATATTTTAATCTAGAGTGTTCTTAAAAAATTCTTTTGGAAAATTGAAGGATCTTCTGAATTTTTTTAGTTCCGAAAATTAGAAAATAAGAAATTTTTTTATAATTCAGGGAATTTTTTAAAATTTTATTTCTAGATTTAAATTTTGCTTCTCTCAGAAAAATTTTGATAATTTTATTTTTATAACATTGTTGTTGATAATATGCCAATAATTCAAGTTAATAGTCAGTATGATATACATATCCGTGTAAATCATATACATTAATATATAACTCTTACAAATTTTTATAAACAATACCTTTTAATATCTCTTTCTCTCAGAGTGATTAAGCCAAAGAGTTAATATTCAAGTATTATACATATATATGATTTTCCTTCGTGATTGGAAATGCTAAAAAGCACGTACAATAAAATAAACTTTTTTCAAAGTTGCATTTAAGAATTCTTTAATTTTATCTAAATTTGAACAAAACTAAAAAGACTGAGAATTCTCAAAAGATTTTTTTAATAGATATCTTATAATCGAGCAAATTTAAAAAATTTAAATAAGAACGAAGCGTTCTTTATCGTTACATCAATACGATGAAATTATAGTTTGAGTGGAGTAACGATTATTAAAATAAAATCTTAATCAAATTAAAGGGAAACTTATAATTTAAAAATATTCGTGATATTTTTCCAGCAATTACCCTCGCGTATAAATTCGGATGAGGAACGCGAACTGTTGGCATTGATGTTGCGAGTTCATGAACTCGAAGCGGATAAGATGATGTTGCAGAGTGAGAGATTAGTCAAACAGCATGAACTTAGACGTCGCGAGCTACTACTGCTCCGTTATGATCGACAACGACAAATCTCCGACGAGATTATTACTAGACAACGACGGATTATGGAAGGTCAGTAATATTATATATAATAAAATTTCTGATTCTTAATTGCTTATACTTTTAAGTAACTTTCATGTAATCAATATCCATTAATATTTTATATTATGCAATAATGTCAAGTATTTCTGTACATCTGTATTGAATATCGTACGCGGAAGTAATTAAAGCTATTTTAATTTTCCTTGAGGCTTGTGTTGCAATATATTGTCATTAATATTTGTGTTAATGTTAGCTTATCGATCTGGTTATTCTTATTACTGAAAAAATATTTTGATATTTTCAATCATTACTGAATGATGCTACATTGCTTTTATAAATAAAAATATAATTCAGGTGCTGAATATTGTCCTTCAATACATTATACTTTACGATACTCTTGTATTTCTTGCGACATTCATCGTATTTTTTTGAATACATATGTATTGTATGTAAATATAATGACGTCATGTAACCTTAGAACTAATTTTTCTGCATGAATTACATATGTAAATAAAAGTAAAATATTTTCACTCGATCAACAAACTTTAAATGGCAGACGGTCATTTGGCGCTTCCACTCGATTTGCAAAATCTCTACGCTATGTATCAGCAAGAAATTCAAGCTGCAACATATACTGATAGCACTTTTGGTGACTTCGCTATGTCTCCGGCCACGTCATCTCTCAATCGTGAAAAATTGCCACCTATATCCAGCAGGCTCAGCATTTATGACAATTTTAATAGCGATTTAAGGATAACTAGCGGGTAAGTAAAATCGTGCAATTGACTTTTCTTTTTGGCGTTAATTATCGAATATCTCTTTCTAACAGTTGAAAGAAATTGATTGTTCATCTATAGTATATTTTATATTAAATTATGCTTCATGCGAAAATGCTTTGCTCTTATTATTTATAAATAAATACGTACATAAATACATAAATCAATACGTACAACACAATGATAGCAATAATGAAGGCAATAATGTGTAATAATTTTTTTTGCATAGTTCTACGTGTCGCATGCGAGCGTGAAAATTTTTATGCAATTTCTAGGAACGCGTGTTTTACCAGAGCGAAAAAATGATGGCTCATCGTCTACACTTATCAGTTATTGCGATCGTTATGCGACTTATCGATTTTCCTCGTGGTCAGCTATTTTTTATATTTCCTTCTTCGTGTGCGGTCTATTAACGAAATTATCCTGAATTCGTCTTGCTTAAGGAAAATAATATATGCATATATGTATATATATATGCATATATGTATATTGTTTGGTAAAATAGTTTTACAGATTCCGACTGGGATTCACCGTTACCACCGATTCAAGAACCGCAGGAAGAGGAGCATGTAATGGGGCCAGTAGTACAGCCATTAATTTCAACAGCCACCTTATTTCCGCCAATATCAGCAGCGAACACACGAAACTAGTGAGCAAATTTTATTCATATAATATCAATATATATTTAATATAATATCAATATACAAAATATTATGTCACACATAAACATACAAAAATACGACATACTTCGATAATATTAGCAATAAACTTAATAATTTGATATTTGTTTTTAATTATGTTTTCATAATGAAAAATAATACAAAAAAAAATTCAGAGTATGATAAATGATTTTTAGTTTTTCCAAAATATGATTGATTATTAGATATATATATATATATACGTAATAGAAAATATATATTATATGTACAATAAATTTATTTTATTATTTCTTTTAAATTAGTGATAGGAAACTTCGTCGAATAGCGAGCGATGACAGCATGGATTCGGCGCAATTTACGCACAATGGGAATAATCGTCATAATATTGTTAGAACGAGAATCGAAACTCATGGAACGGATAGCTAAGATAAACGTGTATTATTCTATTCATTTACATGCATGCACATGCATAATAAAGCCGTATTTTATCATATTTCTATCGTTGAGTCGATTCTATCGAAAAAAATGCAGGAGTAGATTACTCTATTCAATATATTTAAAAAAAAAGACATGTACCTAATAATTCTACATAAATTTCCTAAAATATTTATTAAAAAATTATTAAAAAACATCGTGGATAAAAAAATACTAGATTTCTACATTCAAATTGTAAAATTTAATTCTATTAAAAAATATTGAAATTTCTAGTCTGAAAATTAAATATTAATTTTAAAATAATCGTCAAAAGGCCATTTTATAAAAAAGTGATAGCGTAAAAAATTTTCTTTTTCAAGAATCCATAATTTTTATAAAGTTTTAAATTTGTAAAATTTTATTTTTCATAATTAAAATAACACATCTTATGTGTTATATGCATGTGTTATATGAAAGCGAGCGCGCATGCATGCATATATTTCCACATTTTTGCAAGAATTTTAAATTGTTTTTTTCGCATCTTCTTTAAATTATTATAGTCACCAAATTATTTTTATGAGATTTGTTAATAGATCTCTTTCTATAATTTATCAATTATTTTCAAAAATGCATTCTTGCAAATACGGCAGTACACAAATTGACAATATTTACATAATAGCATGACAATTGGACTGTCAATCAATATTTTATTATTTTCATCTATATATAAGCAATAATATTTTCACTCCAACATTGTTCTTATTATCTTACATCGATTAACCTCTCGCGCAATAAAATAAACAAATTCAACATGCAATAAATATTCATTAAGATCTACTTTTGTATACATGCCTTTATTTTTTATATATCTTACATGTTAATATTAAAAAATGTGGTATGATTAGGTAAATTAATTTGTCATTTGTGATCAACATCGGCTTAAAAAGCGTATTAACTATTGATCACAATATAACTCTAATCTTTTTTTTTATTTCAGATTATATTTTAATTTCGAATCAATGGTGAAATGTTCTTGTTATTCCTTATGAGTAATAATTTTCGACTCAACAACAGCAATTTTGAACGATTTACGTTCATAATACATTTTTTCGTTGTCTCCCACAAAAACTAGCCAATCTGCAATTACGCGAGTGTTTCGGATATAATTGCGTCGGTCTGTGGTTTAAAGATATCACCTCTAATGTTTCTCGCAAGTGTTTACTGCTTCAAAAAACTGTATATAGGAAGTGAACAATAACGTACCGATGACATTGACCAAACACTAATTGTTCGAAATATCTTTTTGCGTTTAATTTAGAGATATTTAACAATGACCATTTTACTCAAATTTAACAAAAAAAGTACTATCATTAAAACAAAATATGGTTATGCAAATTAAATAATCAAGCATTTGTATTTTTAAACAACAATTAGACAACTAGAACTAACAATTAGAATTACACAATCTTTCTATTTTTTTACCTCTTTTATCAATTCTCATTCTTATTATAATAATCTACAATGCCTACGTTATAAGTTGTTTTATTTTCATATACATGCATGACAGAATGACAGGCAACGTCTACATTACACAAAATGACAAATGAAAGAACAGCACAAGAAAAAATATGAAGACATTTAGAGAGAGAAAGAAAAAGTAGAAAGAATAGAAAATACAAGTATTAATAGTATGGAGAATATAAATATTAAGAATACAGAGTTTCGATTACAAATATAATAGCATTATTTAATAACTTCTGAATAAAATTGTTATATGCATGAAAATGTATGTATATACATTTAATTAAATTTATTTTCTAAAGTGAAATTTGCATAAGTCTGTTTACAGACATTCTATTTTGAACTTATAAATTATTGCTTTGTAAACAGCTATTTTTCGACAGCAAGAATGTGTTGCTATTATACAAATAAATATATAATCAAAATTGAATATAATAAATAAGTTTAATATTCTTAATAAATGTTTGATTCATCTTTATTCAATTTAAAGGAATCTCTTCCTAAGTTGAAAATTATGTCACAAATGAAATTAATGTAAAAAAGATGGATTGCTTTTAATTTTTTATTTCAGTACATATGTATAACATTAAAAATAGATAAAAAAATAATTATAATTACACAAATTGAATAATTATTAATAATTATTACCTATTACAAAACATATTCTTCACCAGATGTACCAATCTTTACTTGCCAATCCGACAACTTAAATAGATATGTCATTTTCTCTATCCAATGAAATTTAGATCTAATAGAATCTGTTTTCCAATAAACAATTAATTTACCAGATGAATCTGTAGAATATCCTGTCTTAAATGGTTGTGTCGTAACACACAAATGTGCAGAATGTTTTAAGGCATTAGTAATGATGTCTGCATTTGATGTCTGTAAATCCTCTCGAAATACATGAATAAGAATACAAAGTTGTGATGAGGGATGCAACGCCAGGAATGATCTTAAATATTTCATAAAATACATAATATCACATACATCAAGACCAAGATCAAAAAAATGATTTATATCATCGATGATAAGAACAACAGATTTAGTAAACTTTGCAGCTTCATCATATTTTTCTTTGACATATGTAAAGAGTTTATATGCAACATCTATATGCTCTGCAGAAGTAACATCAGGAATTATTGTTTCCATTTTATTTGTAATATTCTTACACATATCAATGATATCATTGGTTATAATTTTCATTGGCTCGATCACAGTAACCCGATTTTTTTCTTTTAGATCGAGAAGATTATAGCCAAATCTCATCCCAATGTTGTGATAATGACCAAAAGTGTTATGACAAAGAACAAGGCAAATCGCAGTGTCCATCTTTTTTAACGCATGTGATACAACGGCGTTCACCAAAAAGTTTGCATTGGTACCATGTTCTTCTTTGATTAAAATCATTTTACCATCCATGTTTACTCTGTCAATTCCAAGAATGTTACATAACGTAGTTATTGAGCTAGCCATAATAAACTAAAATTTAAATAAATCATTATCATTATTATTATTATTATTATCATTATTGTGTTTCAAAACAGGATGTTAATGCAACATATTCTTAACCTAAAATTACTTACTTTTTAAATCTATACAATCGTATAAAGGTATGTAAAGAATATTAATACAAGTTTTTTAATTACAATCAAAAGTATTTTAATTACAATCTATATTGAATTCAATAATATTTAATTTATTATTACATAATATTAGATGATTTATTAAAAAAATTAAATTATAGCGAATTCAACCGGGTGCACGAGTGCGCACCAGTGCGCACTGAGTGCTCCCCCTCAAGCTTCTATCGACATTGATAAAAGTAAGACAGATGACACTCAGTTCACACTGGTGCGTCCAATCGAATTCGCTATTAGGGCTGCCTTCCGATATTCACTGCCAATACTGAAAATATATACTTCAGGGCATCGATTACGCATTTTTCAGTGACATAGGCTGCGTTCAGCAGAGAAAGCAGATCAGTGAGCGTTCAGTGATTCTTTATTATGATTGATTTCTACACTTTATTCAACGAAGATCTAAAGGCAAAGACCAATCATACCAATCTGCTTTCTCTGCTGAACGCAGCCATAGTTCACTTTTAGGATGCCGTCACATGCGGTGTAACTTGCGTAAGCGTAATCTACGTATTCTAGTGATTTACTAAAACACATTACGCCATTCTGGGGATCAATCATGTAACTTTTCCCCTAGGGCAGAAATATGAAAAGTTTCACATGAACTTATGACCATGTATGATTTTACGGGATCATGTAACTCTCTCAAACGTGAAAATGTGAAATTTACGTGAAATTTTTCACTTTTTATTTTTCATTTTTTACTTTTCATTTTTCATATCTTGACATTTCATGTGAAACTTTTCACGTATAGCGATTATGTATGTATGTAGCTTGGATGCGTGGAAATCATGAAACATAGTTTCATAAGTTTCATAGCTAATGAAAATTATTTTATTGGTATTATATACATCAGTATTATATACATCTTTTAATACAATATTACAGTATTAAAAGTATACAGTATTATACACATCTTAATAACCAATTGTATATGTACGTACACTTAATCCTAACGCAGCCCTAATCTTCTATAATTCCGAAGCATATTTATTAATTCCCTAGATTTCCGCCTTTCCGCCACCAAGGTACATGGTGAAAAAGTTCACGTGAAAAATTTCACTTTTCATGTTTCCGCCCTAGAGAAAAAGTTACATGATCGACTCTCAAGTCAAAGAAATGGAATTTGAAAATTATGAAATGTTCTATAATTATTGTAGAATGTCCATAGAAATGTTCAATCAGTTATTAGATCATGATTATTGTTGGGCCACGCGTTGAAAAACATAAATTATATATATATTAATGACGGGTGCTGTCACATGCAACGTAACTTGCGCTGACCAATCACATCATTTCACTTGAATATCAGAATCTGCCTAATTGCTTTATACTGTTTATGCTATTATTATTATGCTGAATCTAATTTTTGCGGAAGAAACACATACACGATGAATAATCAGAATAATCAGAGCTTTTTGGCAAAATAAATCAATCAAATCAGAATAAGTTAATTAATTAATATAATAATGATTAATTAAATTATCATATCAAATTAATTAATAATAAATATATATATATATATAAATAATTAATATATATATATATATATATTAATTATTTATTGTTTTCTAATGCATGGCCAACAATATCTAACAACTGATTAACATTCTATTGATATTCTATAATAATTGTAGAACATTTCGAAATCTTCAAATTCTATTTCTTTGACCAGATTGTCACTGTCACCCTGTAATAATCTTCGTCTTTTTGAGAATATATATCGGACGCACCCATATTCTATAGGGAGCGTCCCAGATGCGCACATTTTCAATCGGACAGTGTCCAATTGGACCTCACTCCATTCTATGACGAGCCTTTTCTTTTTGGTATACAATCAGTTTCCACATTCCAAACAATTTAAAAATATTATATCGTTTAATTTTATGTTGAGATTGTCTCATCTTCTTCCATTTTTGCCGTCGCTTTCATATTATTAATAACAACAGATCAGGGTTCATAATAACTTCTGAATAAGGTGAGGTCCAATTGGACACATTGCCAATTGGTCGATTAAATAAAAAATTTTTGATAAGTGACTCACTAGAAATTCTAGGCATCGGCTGATGTGAGTGGCGTGTCCGGATTGAAATGTATGCATCTTGGAACGCTCCCTC